CTGAGAGCTGCGCCTCTGGTAGCTGGGTAGATACCATGCCGTGGCAGGGAATCAGCACAGAAGGTTGTTCTTTCATCTTTGCATGGAGCAAATTCACCCCAATTCCATAATTCTCTGCCTCCTTGTCACTTGCCTTCAGAGTCTCAAACTAGAAATGCACACCAAAGGAAGCTGCAAACACAAAGGATTCTTCCTTATAAAGGGGGAAAAGCCACGGCTGCATTAAAACATATATACATACATTTTTCATTGCTTTGGGGGAAAAAGTAAATAGGGGTTGGGACAGTGCCTGTGTCTCTCTACTTCCTACCCACCCCCCATCTCCCCAAAGTTATGTGAGAGGTGGGAAAGTCCATTGAGCCCCTGAAACACAGTGGGGCTTTTCTTTTACAAATAAAATTTCTTTCCCTTGGAGAAGGAATGTCGGCCAGCTTCTGAAGACACCACCAATAAATATGTAACTGCCGGTACATCACATTAACCTTCTACTTGAAATCTTGGGGCAGCATTTATTTTAACCCAGAAATTGTGACAGCCCTATATTTTGTGAGCGGGCCCCTTTTCTTTCTTTCTTTCTTTCTTCTTCTTCTTTTTTTTTTTAAAGATTTATATACTTATTCATACAGATCTGAGGTACAAGTCAGAGGTGCAGGGGCAGAGTGAGGCTTCACCAGAGTCAGAGTGGGGAGCAGAACAGGCCGACTGACAAAGTACACTGCTGAGGGGAGCAGCAGGCAGGTCAGGAGAGGTCTGCCGAGTCATGTGAGTCACCTCTGGGGCGGGGATCGAACTTGCAGTCCAAACCTGTTGCGCCACCAGGAAGGACCAGGGGCCCTGTTCTTTTAATGTTCCTTTGAAATACTAGCCATGTATACTGGAAACTGTTCACAGAAAAGCCAACTAGGAGTCTCAGTGTGAACTGTAGGTCTGGGAGGTTAAGTGTCTGGGTGTAAATCACACAGCTGGTTTGCAGCAGCTCTGGTAGCACAACTGGTTAAAGCGCAGAACTATGAAGCTATCCACAGCCACTGCAGCTTGAATTCTATCCCCAGCCAGGGAGGTGACCCACCTGGCACAGCAGACCTCTCCTGTCTTGCCTGCTGCTCCCCTCAGCAGTGAATTTCAATCAATCTGCCTGCCTGTTCTGCTCCCCATTCTGTCTCTGATGAATCCTCTCACCCCTCCCCACCATGCCTCTGGCCTGTGCCACAGTTCTTGTACACATAAATAAATAAATAAATCGTTAAAAAAAAAAAACTAAAGAAAAAAAGAACAGAAACTACTTGTAGCCATCACAGCCCTTATTGCTCGCAATGCATAACAACTGGTTACAGTAACAGACCTCCCAGGTTCCCTGGGCCTTGTCTGACCGCTAGTTCCCATACCAAGTTTCTATACCAAAAAGGCTACTGAAAAAGACTATCTGACCCTTTTGGGAGAGAGGGGTCTAACTCCCTAGTACTATAACCCTAGGCAAGTCACTTAGCTCTCTGAGCCCCACTTTCTTCATCCATGGATTATGCAAAGATTAAGTGGTCCAGAGTTGCACACACATGTATCCAATATTCTACTGTATGTTCCTGTTTCACATACTGAAGAAAGTAGAATTGCCATGTAAAATGAGACAAGTGGATTGCACAGCTGCCCAGAGACAGCAAGGAATGATCATTACCAAGCCCACTGTACAGTTAAGAGAACAAGTCCCCTCCAGAGACAACATACCGTGCATGAGATCAGAGTTTTAAAAGCAAGCACATTCTCAACAATAGGAAGTCCTCCCTGTCCTCCCAACCACCCTTCCAGAGGGAGGAGTTGAAGGAGTAAAAGTTACTGCTTCCCTCCCATCTCCTCCCTCCTGTCCCAAAAAACAGAGCCCTGTATCTACCATTGTAGCACCCTCCATGGCCCTTCCCTGGCACAGGCCAGACTCCAGGCAGCTTTGATGAATGAGTGAATTACTGAATGAATGAAGATCCTGATCAGGAGATAAGAAGACACTGCCAGCCCAACAGCCTGGAGTAGGTGTTCCATTGCAGACAGTCACAAGTAGGCATGCGACAGATCTAGAGGCCGCCAGCAAGAACTCCATTTTTTCCTCATTCATTCCCCACAATCTACCCTGTGGGAAAGAAGCCTTCGGCAAGCTGAGTCCCTGCTCTCAGTGGTCCCATTGAGAACAGTCCAGGGGCCAGAAGATAACAGGGAAACACGTGTGACCCTCTTCCAGCTAAAACAGATGTAATAACATTGCAGGCAAGGGGCAGCGAACAGACCAGGGAGATAGTCATCTGTCTTCCTAGCTGTCAACTTGGCTCATAATACGATTTTTCTCCCTGTCACACCTTAGGCTGCTACTGAACTGAAGCAAAACCAAGATATCCATCTCCCAGCCATGAGCAGTGGCCTTCATAAGGCACCAGGACAAACATAGGCACCCTAAGGGCAACTGAGAGATGGCAGGGACCCTTACAGGAGCTGGAGGGGCGTGGGGAGAGGACGTGCTCTTACCCAGCTTAAAGAGTCATCCTACCTCTGTGGGCCTCTGTTTCCTATGAGTTCAGAGTTCTAGAAATGGGATCAAAGCAGGAGAAGAATGCTGTGAATCCCATGATATTTTACGCAAGCTATTTTAGACTATACGCATTTGGAGAAGAGTATCCTTAATTTTCATCAAAGTCTCAACTGTATATGTTATATTTTCCCCTCCCCCAAAAGAGTTAAGAAATACTAGACTCAAAAAATAAAAATAAAAAAGAAGAAATACTAGACTCAATGGTTTTCATCTAGACACATTTCCTATGTGTCTTTGTGGCAGGCACTTTAGCTACAAATATGATGCCGGTTGTAAGTCCAAAAAGGTTCAGAAACAAAGAAAAGGCAGCATTTGACTGGCAGGAGGCGTGGGGGGGGGGGAGTTGCCTAAGTGTATGTTAAACTGAGCGTATAGTCACTGATAACAAATAGGAAGAGTATTTTAGACAAAGGGCAGTGCATGCAAAGACAATGTGGGCTCCAGAGCTGTCTGACGTTTAATTGTGAGTAAATATGGAGCATGCTTACTAAGGGGGTGGAGCGGAGAAGTCAGAGATGGGGCCGGGAAAGCGCACTGGGTGGGCGGAGTTAAGGAAATGCCTGTAAGGTCCCCCAAGGAATTTGACATTGTACAATGAGTTCATTCTAGTTTTAAACATCTAGGATGAGCTATCACTCCCAGCCAGATTTTTCCTAAATGTTGGGTCAAGCCCTGAGCAGTTTCGCAAGCTGAAACTGAGCAAATTTGCACTGGAGAATGACGGAGAAAAGCACGGCTGCCAGAGGGCACGGGATAGTGTATGCTTGGGGGTGAATCTGGCACTGTTTGTCGGTCTCTCCCACTTTCTCTCCCTATTACCTGACCCAATGAGGGCTGCGGGAATTCAACCGCCTGTTATTATAGCTGAGAAAGGAAGGTGCTGAGTGGGGGGTTATGGGATGTAGAGCTAAGGGGAGGCCCATTTGGGCCCCTGGCCATCACTTATAAACAGATCTTTCCATTCCTCTAGTGGACTCTGCCACCTTCCTCAGGCTTCACACATGCTATTTCTCCTGCCTAAAAGACTCTTTTAGTCCTTTTCAACTAGTTGGCTCCTATCAGTCTTTCCTTTCAAAGAATCCAGCACTGCTCATAATACTGTATTTTCATGAACTATTGGACCACATCCTTCTTGGCTACTGAACTGCAAACATCATGAAGGTAGACAATGTCAGTTTTGTTCATTTTCTGTATCCAGCTACCTTACCCAGTGCCTGGCACAGAACAATTGTTTGTTGATTGACTGAAAGCCTATGCTGGACCCTGAACCATTACCCTAAATCCACTGCTTCTGGGGATACCTTATAGTTCAGTGAGGAATTTTAGACAAGGACAAGAAGATTGGGCTTGAAAAGGCGATACCAGAGTGGACTCTGCTTATATTTCAAGTGAAGCTCTGTGCTATCCTGTGGCATGGCTTGAGAGGGTCTAAGGCAGGTCCTTGGGAATTGTGTTTAAATTAGTTAAGATGGCTTCTTAATCTGGCCACATCTGACCTTCCCCTGACCTGTCTAGTCAGTAAGAATTCACCCAGGGAGTCTTCTCAAGGGGAGAATCCTCTTTTTCTCTCCAGGAAAATGCCTTCTCCTTGCTCTCCAGGCGCACCCTCCGGAGCCTACAAACTAAGACTGTAGGTTTCTGCAGCCCTGGCACACTGCAGCCCAAGGCAAGAACAGATTTCAACCTACTGTAGAGGCCATGGGGCTCACTTCTAACTCCCACACTAAGTAAATGGCCAAAGTATCAGGAGTCAAAGGTTTGGCCTTAAGGGAAAGGCGAAAGACCGGGAATCTCACCAAGTGTGGCAGGCACACGCTGGGCAAAGCGCCCTCGGTGTTCGGCGCACCGCACCGCGAGAGTGGCCCCATTACCTCCAAGCAAGATCGTGGCCCAGCCGCAGGGCTGGAAAGTTCAGCCAGGGGCCAGCGATACCAAGGCAGGATCCCGAGGCCAGCTTTTGCGAAAGGAGAGAGACTTAACGGCTTGATTCGTGGTAGTCCTAGGAGCCGGCGGCGGGGCGCCCCAGTCCCGCAGCTGCATCCCGGACTGCAGCGCCCTCGGGAACTCGCCCGGCAGGGGCTGCACCACTTTAGCCGCAAGGACAAGGCGGCCTTCCCCCTCCCATCAGTTTCCTCCCTCCTCAGCTTCGGGGCGTCGGGAACCGGTAGGGGCAGGAAGGGAAGTGGCGCTTGTCCTTGGGTAGACCCCGAAGACCCCATCCCTGCGCTGTCGCCGACCCAGGCGGGGGCGCCCAGGCAGCCACAGCCTGCGCCAGAGGAGAGTCGGGGACGCGTTGCGGGGAGGGGGCCGCGGTCAGCGGAAGCAGAGCGGGGGGCCGCACGCCGGGGCCGAGACCTGAGCGGCACAGAGGGGGTGCCCGACAAGGCAGCCGACGCACTCCCCAGGCTGGAGTCGCAGAGCGCCTTACCTTGGCGAGCAGCGGAAGTCCGGCTGCCTGCTGCCGGCGATGTCTGGGGTCCGCGCACACCCGGTTTCGGGGAGCAAGCAGTCTCCGGGTGCACAGCCCAGGTGCCGGGCACACACAGCGGTTCCCGGGTGCCCACCCCCAGGCTGGCGCACACGAGTAGTCCGGGGCGCGCGCGCCCTCGGGCGCCCTCTCGCAGGCGGGGTTGGCGTGGGTCAGGGGCTCACGTCCTGAGGGGTACACCCACCGCCGCGGATGCGGGTCTGGCCAGCCGAGACTGGCCGAAAATCCGCCGCGTCGCCTGCTGCCAGCACCGCTCGAGTCCCCGCCTTCACTGGGGGAAAAAAAAAAAAGACTCGACAGGACTCGGGCTTTGGTGTGTAGGAAGGGGCAGCATTGCGAAATCGAGGGGAGGGTCTTAGGTTTGAGAAACTCAAAAAACCCAAGGGCAGAGTTTGAAAGAAAAACTTTAAAAAGAGACCAGAAAACTAAGGGATACAACGCTTTACAAATTTATGAAGTGCTGTCCTATACATTTATCTCAGTTCACCTTTACTACAGCAAGGAGGTGGGGACAGTTCTACCTCATCTTTTTTATTTTTTTAAATTTATTTATTTATGCACACAGAACTGGGGTACAGGCCAGAGTTGCTGGGGCGGTGAGAGGATTCACCAGAGACAGAGTGGGGAGCAGAACAGACAGATCGAGGAAGTGCACTGCTGAGGGGAGCAGCGGGCAGGTCAGGAGAGGTCTGCCTTGTGGGTCACCTTCCACCGGGGATGGAACTCGCACTGAGGCTGCTGCGGCTGGCTTGCAGTGCTGGGTCCTAACCCACTGCGCGACCATAGAAGGCCCCTACCCTTATCTTACAGATGGGTAGCCACCCTCAGAAAAAGTCAGGACTCAGACCCATAGCGGCATGCAGCCGGCTGTGCACACTGCTGGCGGGATCGTCTCATTACAGGGATGATGAGGGGAGGATGAATGTGACAACTTGTATCTCTCTCAAGTCATTTCTTTTCCCATTTGCTTTGTTTCTTCCCAGCCACTGCTTTTAGTCCCTAAGACTTTCACTTCCCACCCACCCCACTCTGGACTTCTTACCAGTTCAAAATGTTTGCATTTCAGTCTCTAGCCTCAAATGTGACAGATAAACTGTGCATTTTACAGGTGAAGACAAACAGGCTTGGGAGAGTCCCAAGGGAGTAGAAGTCTCAGGTCTAGGACCAAACTCAGCACTATCCAGAGCGCCTCTCAAAGGCCCTTTGGCCCTGAGTAAGACTTAACCAAAGGGATCTCATGTTTTACATTGTGACCCTGGAAGGAGAGAGAATTTCAGACAGAGGATATTTCTGGGACTTTACTTTCCCCATTTTGATGGAAATATGGTTAATGTAATGATTTCACTTCCACAGGCGCTCCAGGAAAGCAAATCCATAGCCTCAGCGCAGTAATTAATGGCAACAGAGGCTTGGCTCAGTACTGAGGGTAATAAGGAGTGGTGGGGACTGTGGTGAGTTTGGAGACAGCTGCAGGCGCCTGCCAAGTGAAGGGGCTACTGTTACTCAGCTCTGGTCCATTTCTGCCTGTCAAAATAAGGAGTGAATATGACCATTTCTCCCTGTTTTTCAAGGAAGTCATAAATTCAAATGAAGTTTCCTGGTTTGTTGACAATTCATTTAGAACATGGTCACCACATTACCCACAGGTCAGTGTTGATCAAACCAAATGAAGTAAATTTATGAACCAGTGCATGGAGCAGGGGGTGGTACCCTGGAGTTTGGGGTACAACCTATTATACTAGGACCTGTAGGGTAGACCTTGCATGGACTACTATTGCCATTTTAGGAAAGAGGAAAAGCCGGTTTGGGGGAGTCCCATGACTTGCTAGGCTGCAAGGGCTGGTTGGTAGAGCTGGAACTGAAACCCAGGTGTTCTGTCCCCTGGTGCACGAGCATTCTCTGATCTCATTAAGTTTCTTTCTTGGATTTTGAGCATTGTGAGCCAAGTTAAGCCTGGGCTGGCACTGAGGTGTAGAGACATAGCACCTTTCCTGGGAAGATGGAGCAGGAGTGCCAGACCGCTGTCCTCGAAAGCTCAGCTTATGACTCAGAGCTGAAGTTGTGTCTTGAGGGCAAGGCTGAGTCACTGGAAGCAAGGTCACAATTGGGATGGCTGGGATTTCTGAATCCCAGACTAGGGTATCAAGAAACAGGGGGGAGAAGTTAGTAATCAAATAGATCCCACAGATATACCCCAAAATACAGAAACCACAGAACCTACCTGAACATGACCTATTTTTCCTGTCAAAATGGGAAAGCTGCAAGAGTTAGACTGGAAAGTGGACCCATGATGTAGTTCTGTGACGATGGAAAAATTTCAGGCTTCAGGTCCTCTAGAATCTCAAGTATGGGTATCTCTACTGCAGGAGCAGCAGATTGGGTCTGTAAAGTTGCTAAGAACATCACTGCTGTAGCCTAAAACATTGTAATCAAAGGACTGAGCAGCAGGCAGAGAATAGAAGCAACTTCTTGCCTCTTTGCTGGAGGTTGAGGTGGTGGTTGGCAGATTATCAAGTATTCACCATTTACCAGGTATGAACTAGGCACTGCACGGAGCATTTCACATACATGATCTCATGAGAACTTACAACAAATCTGTAAAGTGGTCATCATTTTCCTCTCAAGGATAACTCGGTACGGAGTTACTACCCTAACACACAACTAGTAAATTGGGGAGGTAGAAATCAAATTTGGGACTTCAAAGACTAAACCCTCTTCAACTGAAGGTCTGGAAATTGCACTCAGATTTAGCTTCAAGAAATACTGTCCAGCTGTAAGCAGCATGGTTAGCTGCTCCCCACCCCCAGCCCCCTAAACACTCTGTGGTGAGCTCCTGCAGGGTCTGCCTCAGTCAGCTGTGGGCTGGTAATGTTTAGCAACCCCTGGGGGTGGAGATGGGGTGTGGGAAGGGGCTTGGGGGGAGGGGAAGAATGTGTGTACAGATACCATCAATGCTCATTTTTACTGCTACTTCTATAAAGTGGCTGCAAACACTGAGATAACTACTATTGAACAATTGCTCCCAAAGGAAATACAGGGTTAGAGGTTCTTACAAAGCTCTGGGCACAGCATTTTCATCAACTGATCAATATATAATCTTATTTTTGTTTCTGTTTAAAGAAAAATATATATGTAGCTGACCCTTAAATAATACAGGGGTTAGGACTATTAATTCCCACTTGAAAATCTACATGTAATTTTTGATTTCCCCCAAACTTAACTACTAATAGCCTGCTGTTGAGCAGCAGCCGTATCAATAGCAGTCAGTGTCTTCCCTGTGTATTATTTACTGTATTATTACCATTTGCATTATTACAATAAAGTAAGCTACAGAAAATGTTACTGAGAAAATCAAAAGGAAAACACATTGACAGTATTTCTGACCATGGAATTCAAAACTATATGTTAATTGAAAAATATTCATGTAAAATTAGACCTATGCAATCTAAATTCAACAGCTGTGTAAATATTTTACATATATTATATACCATATGCATATGCACTATATATACTATATATATATATATATAGAGAGAGAGAGAGAGAGAGAGAGATTTGTTAACATTAAACTAATAGCCAACAATGCTACAACTCACATTTGAATAAACATTTTTTAACATCTATATTCTTTGTAAGACACATCACAGCCTTGTGTGTAGGGACATTAGACAGCACTTCAGCACTTCTGCCTTGGGCTATTTTAAACAATGAAACCACCTACAGAAAGCACAAAAATGCAAAAAAGTACCACTAAGTAGACCACAAAAGGGATATTTACAACATGAAAGCTGAAACAAGAAAGCAGAGGGTCTTTTTGCTCAGCTTCAGCTGGGGATGTGCAGGTCAGACAGCTCAAAATGTTCACTGCTTTGCACATGTTCCTGAATGCTGAAAAGGTGCTACAGTATTGATTTGGGTTTCATAAAGAAATGTTGGCAAGTGAGTGAGTGTAACTACAGAACTCACAAATTGAATGGCTGAGCAGTATGTATATATGGACCCGCGTGTGCCTTCCCCACCCTTCATCATCCATGATCCACCTTTTCAGGTTTATTTCTCATCATCCCCAGCCAGACTGGACAGCTCACTGTTTCCAAACTCCTTTTTCTAGGTTTGGCTCCCTGTGGCTCTGTCTTCTCTGCCCTCAACATGTGCGCACACCCTGTATTTCTATGTCCAAATGATTCTGCTGTGCAACTGTACACGAAGGTCTTCCTGATGCCCCAGTCAATGCAATTTGGTGCACTCACAGGTCCATACAGCTTCTTTATTTTGTTTTTTACATTTTGAAATGGCAGGTTTATTAGGAAAAGGAGAAATAAAAGGCAGGCACCTGCATAGTCACAGGTAGGCAGAAAAGCTGTCCATTATAGCATTTTGAAGTTAATGTCAGACACTGCTCGTGTTCTAGTTTATATTCCAAGCCCTGACTGTCTTCAAGAAAACACAAATCTGATCATGCCACTCCCCTGCTTAAAACTCTTAATCAAAGGCATCCCATTCATCATGAGATAAAGTTTGGATTCCTTGAATAAGGTTTACAAGTCTTGATTCTCCAGTCTTACTTTGTGGACCCTAATGCTATCTCTTCTAGCCACAGGAGAATCCTCTTAATTCTCTGACAAACTGGGTTCTTTCCTACATAAATTTCTCTGCACATGCCATATTTTCTTCTGCCTGGAATTATTCTCCTTCCAGTTCTTTGTCTAGCTAATTAACACTCACCTCAAGAGTCTCAGCTTAAAAATCACTTCTGCAGGCCCTCCCTAGTGGCATAGTGGGTTAAAGCTCAGCACGAAGAAGCTAAAGCCATTTCAGCATGAGTTCGAACCCCAGAGGTGATCCACATGGCACGGCAGACCTCTCCTGACCTGCCCACTGCTCCCCTCAGTAATGTACTTTGTCGATGTGCCTGTTCTGTTCCCCACTCTGTTTCTAGTGAATCCTCTCACTGTTCCTGCACCTCTGGCCTGTACCCCAGTTCTGCATGCACAAATAAATAAATCTTTAAAAAAAAAAAGTCACTTCTGCAAAGAATCTCTCTGATGCAGTCTAACCCCCAAACCAAGTTAGAAGCCCCTGGCCTGCACTTATAGAATCTCTGCTTTTCTTTCAAAATTCTCAGAACAATTTAAAGTATGTGCTTACTGCCCATTTCTCTTGCAAGATTGTAATCACATGAAATGAATCCCATATCTCATTTGATATATCTCAGTACCTACTCAGAATCTGACA